TGGGACTTGATAAAATTAAAAAAGTTTGCACAACAAAAGAAATGGCCTCTAAACTGAAGAGACCACCCACAGAGTGGGAGAAAATATTTGCCAGCTATCCATCAGACAAAGGACTGATAACCAGGATATACAGGGAACTTAAAAAAACTAAACTCCCCCCAAATCAATGAACCAATAAAGAAATGGGCAACTGAACTAAATAGAACTTTCTCAAAGGAAGAAATTCAAATGGCCAAAAACACATGAAAAAATGCTCAACATGTCTGGTCATAAAGGAAATGCAAATCAAAACCACACTAAGACTCCATCTCACCCCTGTTAGAATAGCTATCATTAAAAACAACACTAATGACAGGTGTTGGCAAGGATGTGGGGAAAAAAGAACCCTCGTACACTGCTGGTGGGAATGCAAGCTAGTGCAATGACTCTGGAAAACAATATGGAGGCTTCTTTAAAAAGTAAACATAGATCTACCATATGATCCAGCAATCCTAGTCCTAGGATTGCTGTCACCCAACCTATGTCACCCAAAGGAATGTGACACAGGTTACTCCAGAGGCACCTGCACATTCATGTTTATTGCAGCGCTATTCACAATAGCCAAGTTATGGAAACAACCAAGATGCCCCACTACTGATGAATACGTTAAGAAAATTTGATATTTATACACCATGGAGTTTTATTCAGCCACGAAGAAGAATGAAATCTTATCATTTGCAAGTAAATGGATAGAACTGGAGAACATCATCCTGAGCGAGGTTAGCCAGGCTCAGAAGACCAAAAATCATATGTTCTCCCTCATATGCAGACTTTAGATCTAGGGCAAATGCAGCAATGTTGTTGAACTTGGGTCACACGCTAAGGGGAGAGCACATATGGGAGGAATGGGGATAGGTAGGGAACCCAAAACTTGAAAATGTTTGATGTCTCCACTGCAGAGGAACTAATACAGAAACCTTAAAATGACAGAGGTCAATTTTGGAAGGTAACTGGGAAGTAGTGAAGAGGTCAGGTAGAGATGAATCAATTTGGGTTGTAATACACTTGTGCATGGAAGCAATGCTAGGAATTTCTCTGTATAGCTATCCTTATCTCAACTAGCAAAAATGCTATGTCTTTTTAATTATTGCTTATACCTATTCTTCAAGAAAATTAGAGAAAAGTGCAGAACAGGCTCTGCCTGAAAGTGAGGGGGGTGGGGGGGAAGAGGGAGGGGGTGGGGAGAAGAAGGAGGTGGGGGGCAGGGGGAGAAGTGACCCAAACAATGTATGCACATATGAATAAATGAATGTTAGATCAAAAAGAATTAACCTAGAAGGTAAAACACACTCACAGGAAATCAATGTGAGTCAATGCCCTGTATAGCTATCCTTATCTCAACCAGCAAAACCCCTTGTTCCTTCCTATTATTGCTTATACTCTCTCTACAACAAAATTAGAGATAAGGGCAAAATAGTTTCTGCTGGGTATTGAGGGGGGGGAGCGGGAGGGGGTGGAGTGGGTGGTAAGGGAGGGGGTGGGGGCAGGGGGGAGAAATGAACCAAGCCTTGTATGCACATATGAATAATAAAAGAAAAATGAAAAAAAAAAAAAAAAGAAAAGAAAACAAACAAAAAAACAAACAAAACAAAATCGGAGAACAAGAAGGGGGAACAAGTTCTGCCCAGAACCAGGAGGCGGGTAGGGGGGAGGGCAGGAGGACCAGGGAGGTTGCCCAAACAAAGTATACACATGTAAGTAAATGTTAAAAAACTAAAGAAGAGTAGCCTTAAATCCACTAGTAACAATGACCTAATATGACTGGTACAGGCTGAATCCTACCAGTATAGAACACAGACTAGGGCTTGAATATTATTTTCAGTTCCCATAATAAATCTTTGTTGAGTGTTTACTTTTCCAAGTTATTACTTAAGATCAAAGTCTATGACAAACTATGCTCTATGCCCTGGTTTATTTAGTATGACTTATCTAAGAATAATTTTTATATTTTTAAAGATTAAAAAATTACCATGAAAACATAAAAACCAAAGGATATGTAACAAAGAATGTAAGGCTTAAAAAATTAAAATATTTATTATTAGGTCAGTACAGAAAAAGTTTTCAAACCTTGATAAGATATTAGGGATAAGACAGTATAAAACAGAAAACAGAGAGAGTACCTTTTCCTATGGGGCTGATATTCTAGTGATATCAGATAAACAGCATGTGAATGAAATAGTTTGTTAGGTGGTATAGAAAATTAAGTTAGGGAAGGGGCTGACTTGAAGAGAAGAGGTGCTGCACACTTGTGGCCTGTGGGGAAGAAAGGGGATGAGAGTCTCCCATGACAATGAAGTGTTATTTTACCTGGGCTTTCTGAGGAGATAAACCATAAGTAGGTAAGTCAAGCACAGATTGTCATTTTGGCTGTGACTATTTTGGTGAGGCAATGGCTTCTCACTAGAAGCTCAGTGTTCTGTGGCTCTTACTTCTCTACTGCCAGTGATGAGGTAGAGACTAGAGAAGAGGATTGCCTTATTGGGAAAACCAGAGTTTCTGATTCCCTGTAGATAGTCATGTTTGAAACAGGAGAGCTTATGTCCTAGGTGGGTGTTGAGGGTTTTATTTGAGGGTGGTGGTAAAACAAACAACAAAAGAGGTCCTAGAGCAGGGTACTTGGAGTGATGTACGTTCTAAGAGTAGACATTTCCTGATACTCCGACAATGTATCATAAGAGACCACTTGCAAGCACAGCATTCTAGGAATTAAAAAATTCTTAAATAATTCTGTGACAAGGATACAGCTATTGCTATTGTTACCACCATAATAAGAAACAACACATGCAGTCAAGTTAATTCTTTGTGATATTATTTTTATTAAGGTATCTGTTGAACATGTACTATGTACCTAACACTGTTCTAGGAATTCAAAGTACAGTGGTGTCAAGAAAATATAAACAAGATCCATCTCTGGTGAAATTTACATTTGAATAGTGCAGATAATTTTAAGCATTTTATAAGTACTGTGTACCCATTAGAAGGTATTAACTTAAGTAGGATACATCTTTTATTATGCTAAAGATGAAAAGGGGCCAACCATTCCATAAGTGAGTGAAGAAGAGCAAAATGAACATAAGTGAGGAGGCCCTGAGGCAGTAAAGAGCTGTCACATCACTGATTTATGACTGTGGCACTTTCCCCTCAGGCAGTTCTGTCAGAGTGCACTATTGGTCCTATGAAGAGATGAGGCTTCTGGAACTGCCCTCAAGCCCCAGGCTACCTTGAGGTTAGCCTTTTCTTTCTGTTGCTACTACTCATGGGAATTTCCCTCCAGTCATCATGCCCCTAAGACGTCTTGCCTTGTCTGGAGTGATAGAATACAAACCCACTTCAGGTATGTACTTATAGAATAGCAGGAGAGCAACAATATCAATAATAATCTTACCAGCAACAGCAATAGTTGGCAGTTTTGGACAGCATATACATGTTAAATACTTTACATGTAGTAATAATTTAGTCCTCTAAATAATCCTTAGATAGGGAGTAATATAAACCCCATTTTCTAGATGAGTAAACAGAGGCAAAGACAATTGAGCAATATGCCCAGTTCATACAGCTAGTAGGTGCTTAACAATGGAGGTAGAGATTCAGAACCCACATGACCTTACAAGTAATACACTTTTAAGGAATAATCTGTAACGAGGAAATAAATTCCAGGGACATACTTTCACTTTACACACATAGTACCTCACTAAAAATGTTACAAATGATTCCCAGACTCGTTTTCATTACCCACATCATTACTGCAAATTCTTCCAGTATGATCTGGAGACTAATTACCTTTTTTGGTTAATATTTCCTTCTCCATCCTTTACCCTGTATCCCTGTTTAAGCCTATTGTCAGTTCTTCAGGCTCTTGGATAACACATTTAGTCACATTCTTTCCTCACTCTAGTTTTCAGCTTCAGCTCAGATACATTCTCCTCCCTATTCCCCCAGTTCTCCAACTCAGCCTGTCTTGTCCCTGTCCTTATCCCTGTATTTTCTGTCAGGTTTAAGGTTTACTGTTACCAAGTTTTGAGGATAGAGAAGCAGTTCACTTTACCAGGTAATTTTATTCTTTCATGCCAGACAGTGAGTAGCACTTGTGAAATTAAAATTCCTCAATCAGATAAATAACAGAAAATAAATTTCATGGTACTGATAATTGGGTGAATTTTTCTTCTCATAAGCTTCCCTTGCCCTTATGATTAATTAATTTTACTAAAAACTATTTATGCAAACTAACTAAATCCAGTAAAATTTTAAAGGATAATGTTTCACTTTACATTATCTCTAGGACTTTCTAGGTGGAAAAACAGAGGTAACACAGGTTAAGTCCCTGACAGATTGGGGATGACCTGCATTATGGCCATGCATGCATCCCAGCAGTTTTAGACATGTGCAAATTCTCACAGATGTCACCACACAAAAATAGCAAGCCACTCTAAATACACTAGAAAAATATAAGCAAAGAAATTAGAAGGAAATGGCTATTTCTTCCCTCTCTTCTATCTCTCTCTCCTCCCTGTCCTTCCTCTCTTCCCTCCCTCTCTCTTCTCTTTCTTTTTTCTTTCAGACAAATCTCCCTATGTTGCCCAGGCTTTTCTCAACTCCTCAGCTCATGTCACCCTCCTGTGTGAGTCTCCCAAGGAACTGGGACTACAGATATGCACCACCACCATACCTGACTTTTCTTTTTTTTGCTGTTTTTAACCTAAATTTAAAAGTTCCTAGAGAATAAGATTTCTCTAAACTTTGACTTTTATATGAGAATTCTGTATGCAAAAGCACAAATTAGCAAATTAGAAAATATATTTATTTTATTTCATTTTTACTTATTGTAAGCATACAGTTTATGTCATAAAATTCATCTGCTACATAATCTTAGTAGACTTTACTTATTTCCCTCTCTATATGATACAAAGCCTTGAAGAAAATGACCAAAATACAACATAGCCAGATATAGAAAACATCCTTACCTTTAAAGAAGACAAAATTCCCGTCACTGTTTTCATAAACTGCATCGATACTAGGAGGCAAGCCCCGCCAAAAGTAAGTAATTTGCATGGGGTATCCATCCATCACCCGGTTATTTCTCACTCGCCAAAACCACTGGTCCTGTAACCCAAGCAAAAACATCACTCAAGGAACCTGCAGTATTTCACTGCCCAATGGCTGGTTGAACAGTTTTAAAGCTAAGCTAGTATCATTATCGTTCTCTTATAGTCAAAACAAGTCAGCAAGAGCTAAGTAAGTTTTTGCAGTGAGCTAGCTAAAGTTTTTTATTAAACTCTCCAATCTCTAAATCATACCATGTAATTAAAAACAGTGATGAATTACTCCAGATTTTCACTTTATATTATCTCTAGGGCTTTCTAGATGGGAAAACAGAAGTAATACAGATAAGTCCCTGCCAGACTGGGGATGATCTGCACTATGGCCACATATAGATCCTATATTAGTCCTAGCAGTTTTTACATATATGCCAGGGACATCTGATAACACTGAGTAGTTTTCTATTGACTATTTCAGATTAAAGACTACTCAAAGTGCTTTCATAGTAGAAAACCAGGCATAGTTTAAAAGTTGTTTCTCAATGAATTAAAATTTTACTTTATTTCATTTCATTCTAATTCTGTACATACAGTGTTTTCACTTAGAGGTTAAAGCTTATACTATATAGACAAACATGTATCACAAAAATATTTTGGTTTCAATTCTCTGCTTTCTTTCATGCTCTTTTCTCTCAACTTAATAGTAAATGATTTATTAGAAAGGCTTCCCAAGCTTTTGGCTAAGAATAGTTTGACCTGACTGGACTTCCTAGTATTTATCATTTATTTATATACTCATACATTCATGTACAATCTAGCAAGGATTCTTGGATTTCAAGTAGTATCATAAAAATGAACCTTCTCTAACCTAAACCTATCTAAATATTAAAGTTTTCCCAGGAACACTGAATCATTGTACTTTGTTCTAGTTTTGAAAGGCAGAAGTAGCTTAATTAATAGCTCTGAGTTCATGTGCTATTCTTGCTCTTTTCCCAAATTATGATGTCACTTTGGTCAAGACAGTAGTCACTGAGTTAATCACAAACTATACTGTACTTGCAGCATGATTATGGTACCAAATATAAAGGCCTTTCTGAGGAATGGGCAAATGGAAGCACCCAAACTTTTGGTTGTTATTACTGTTAAAATGATATTGAAACTAGTTATCCTAAATTTCCTGTTTACATTTCTGTTTACAGCTTTATCTCTTGCGCATTGCTTCCTTTTCAGATTTTAGATGTAATCTGAATCTAGCCATGTAGTCTGCCTCCCCAAGATCTTCTTATGTTGTTAACCTTTTCTTGATAACTTTCACAACAGTGGGTACTGAGTAGTTTAAATTAGTAAAAGTTTTGATCCACATGCAGTAATAAAATTAAATGAAATTTTTAAAATAAGAAGTTATTTCATGAAAAGGTTGACTCAGAGAAATGTATATGGGCATGAAGATTAGGGGCTTATTGCTAATAGAATGTGAATGGATGATATTATGATCATTGATAAGAAAAATAAAACATTTTCTGTCTCGATACAAGAGTTTTTTAACTGAGTTTAAAATCATGCCAATCTCCAAATAATTTGATTTCATTAAATCATTTTAATCTACATGGAAAAATAACAAACAAAAATGATTAAACACTTATGGATTCCTATAAAAATAACTGACCATGATTATGAAATGATGAGTCAGAAAGCTCTTCTCTAAGGTCAAAACTGAAAAGAAATCAGGTGAAAAAAACCTTGGGCTGTATTTGTTTTTCTTAGAGAAGCACTTCCCAGTGCTATATTATTCCTGCATTTGGAGGCGGGGCAGGGGCTCTTTGGTACAAACATATGCTGCAGTCTAGAGCTAGGAACATAATCCCAAGTTGCCTTTAATAAGGGGAGAAATGAACACTCTGCCTCAAGATAAATATAGTCAATTTGCAAAAAATCAGAAGGCAATGTGCAGCCATGGATGGAATCATGACTGTTTCTTGTTGACTGAAGACTGGGCAGAGAGTCATTTAAATTATAGATGTTCCTGCTGTGCCTCTATTCAATTTATGCACAACCTGTCAGTTTAGCAGAAAGCAAAGGTGCAAATAATTTAGAAAGCATTCTGTCATAGAGGATGTAGACTCTCACCCCAGTTACCATAGATTGTCATTTCAGAAATGGGGCTTGTGAACAATTCTTAGGTCAAGGAGATTTACATGATATTCAGAACTCTACAAATCTTCTTTATAAGTGAAACCTTCTCTGACTGCCTTATCTAAACTTGAAGTCCCTCACCCCACCCACACACATCTGCTGGCTTTCGTCACCTCCCTTCTCAGTTTTATTTTCCTTTGTTGCATTTATCACTGTTTTATACAATACTTATTTCACTTATTTATTTCTAAATCCTTCTTCACAAGAATATAAGCTTCATAAAGCAAGGGTGTCTTGCCTTTTGTTCACTTATGGTTCTCCATGTCTAGAAAAGTACCTTATACATAGTAGATACTAAATACTTTTTGAAAGAAAACAAGGAGGCATGATCAAGGTAAGCCAAAATTTAAAAGCCAAAGCTTTTAAATTAATTCTAAATTTCTTCCTCTCTATGGTTAAAATGTTTACTTATTTAAAAAGATAAAAGCTATGTGGAGGTCACAGTAACACAAGACATTCTACTTGGATAAGCATATGCTAAACGAATATTCTGCTCTAGACGGATGCTATATTTAAAAGTCTTTGGACCATTGGGAGAAAACATATTTGTTTTCAACTTTTCAAGCAATGTAAATTCTGTTCTGACTTCATATGTGAAGGAAAAGAATGAGAACCAACTCAGTGGAGCCCAAATCTGTTGTTTGTTGCTTCCAGCCTTTTTTTTTTCTTTCTGTTTTTTGATGTAGCCATGGAAAGACAGGATACACAAATAATAATAATAATAATAATAATAATAACTAGAACATTGCAGATGCAAAGTCAACTTTTAAACAAAAGATACTGCTTAAAAATGACCAAACGAATTCCTACTTAAACCTCAAGATTTCACTTAAGGTATGGCCTTATATATCAATTTTTCTTTCCACAAAGCATGAGATCCAGAAAGATTAATTTGTTCACAGAGATAAGTCCACAGAGTACCATATAGTATACTCCAGGAAACAGTAACATACAGGAGAAATTCAGGTTACTTTTCTTCTATTTCTTTTAAAATTTTATACAGAAAATGTGTCCTTCTGCAGTCTGAATATGAAGCAATAATGTGGTTGATGGACTAACAGCAGCAGATACTATTTTCAGGACTCTTATAATCAAGGGGATTTATAATCTATGAAAAGACATTAGAAAAACATATGCACACAAATACAGATTTGCTCAGAAGCCATAATCATGTATTATTTTTGAGGGCTTATATGTCTATGGAAAGTAAAATCAGATGTAAGTGGTAAAAAGGATCTTGCAGCTATACAGATAGTCAGGGAAAGGAAGTTTATATGAATGTTTAAAAAGCAGAAGAAATGTAGTAGGCCTGAATTTGCTTCTCCCTCTTCTCAGTCAGAGATGTCTGGGGTCCCCATCTGGATACTCTCCACCTAGAAGTCACTCTTGGGAGCCAGACACATCAGGTGCCAGGAGTTTGGGAGGCAGCAGTGCAGGGATAACCATGGACATTGAGCAAGAGTGGGAGCCAGCGTTGAGTTCTCAGACTGTAGTAGATGTCCGAACATCTGTCCATTCCAGGTCACTGCTCTTTTGAACGCACAAGAAGAGAAAAGGGGGGTTTGAGGGCAGGATGACAATATCCAATGTGGAGTTAAGGAAGGACAATTTCTCTGCTCTGAAGCAGCTAACACTTTCCCTATGAAACTGACTCAAATGCACGAAGAGAAAGTAAATAATCAGAAAACAGAATTTCTTTAAAAATGTACATTTGGAAAGTTTTTAACAATATCATATACTAGACCACATATATCCCAACCATATCCATAGTTAATTATTGGATATATTGAAAAAAAGTTCATGATGGCTAATAATCATTATTGGGTTAAATTCATTAATTTTTAGAAAAAGTATTTGAACTTGTTACCTGATGTTTCTACCAATAAAATGTACCCAATGAAAATAGAGTATATTAATGTGCTACAGTTAAAGTTTTACTAAATGGCACAAACTTAAGAATGTATTACACGATTCTGTTGAAAAGGTGATGAAGACATTTGTTCCTCAGAATGATAGAAAGTAAAATAAACCAACTTAGGAAATTTAAACTGTTTTGGACATACAAATAAGCTTCTAGCACAGATTTTTTTTAAAAATCAGTTATATTACATGGAAATATTTTTAAAATAAAAAGTAATTTTTTTAAAGAACAAGACATATCATTGGCAAAGTAAAAATCTATGACAAACAGGGAGAAAAAGATTTACATTCCAGATCACAAAAGGTCAGTCATAGTAATATGTAAAGAGCTCTTAAAGAAAATAATATAAAAATCAGTAAGAGGCATACACAGACAGTTGATGGAGAAATAAAAGTTTTGTAAACAGAGGGGGAGATGAACAGCATCATGTAAGCGTGGAGGCATAAGCTATCCTTCTCAGGTTGCCTTGATGCTGGGTCTTATAGAAACAGAGCCGTCATGTGCTCCTGTTGGAGAGTAAATAACATAATGTGTATGGAGAACAATTTGGCTAAAACTAATAGCATTTACACTGCTGCATAGGAATGCATTGATTGTCTGACTCAGTAATCCCTCCTCCAGCAATCTATCCCAAATGGAGACATCCTCTCAAATGAAAAGATACAATGTGGTACTGTATAATACAAAAATCATAAAAAAATGATAAAGTAGAAAATAATTTTTAAGGTCTTTCATAGAATGCTATTTATGATAGCAAGAGTATCCTATCATGGGCTGCGGGTGTAATCATGGTATAGCATTGCCTGATAAGTTCAACACCCTGAGTTAAACCTCCAGTACCACAAAAAAAAGTGTGCTATCTTCTGTGGTAAAGAAGCCTAAATGTATATCAATGTAAAAAATTGTATAGATTTAGATATAAATATAAATAAAATGTAGCTTTCTTTTGA